GGAATCAAACCCGGTTCTCCCAGATTAGAGTCCACACTCCTAACCACTACATCAAAGGGCATCAGGGGAAACACTGGAATATAAGGGGGTTCCAATGATGTCGTCTGGGTCCTCTGTTAAAACTGAGTGAATGAATGGTGTTGATTCTGGACTAAACGGTTAGTGTGGAAGAAATATTATTTTATTAAACTTATTAATCGCCCAATCCCTGCTACTGCAGGGCTTTGGGTGCTATACAACATATAATAAAAACATTAAAACCATAAAGTAGAAACATAAATAATACTAATACAGCAGCCTAAAATGATCAAGTGGTGAAAATTACAATTTCTTCCCCGTTCTGGACTTTAAATTCAAGCTTGGTGGCTACTGTGGTACGTAGAACAGTAAAGACACAGTCTAGAGATCGTAGAGAGCTATGCCAAAAGAATGAAGAAAAAACAAATAGGTGCTTGTGGATTGGGTTGTGCAATGTTCCCTCTAAGCTGTGGAGTCTTGTGAGCAAAATTTCTACTTTGTGAGCTAGTGGCATTAAAGTTGTGAGCGAGTAATTTAGCTACTGCATTAATTAGTTTGCTCTGGAGCCCTCCTTCCTGAGCGAAGACAAAAATGTGTGAGCCAGAGGCTAAAAAACGGTGAGCTAGCTCAGAATAACTCCACTTAGAGGGAACACTGGTTGTGAGATGTGAGCCTACAGTTTAGGATCAGGGTATGTGTATAGTAGGTGTCTAACAGAATTGCTGCCAAAATGGTGGTGAGACATGGAGAAAAGGTGTATTTGCAGAAAATGACTAGAGTGGTTCTATTAACTGCTGCCTCTCCTGGGCAAGGAGCCTGGCCATAGTTACCCACACTCTGGTGTTACCAAGATTAAAGTACCACAGGGCAGTGTATTCGGGGGCTGCCTTTGAACACTTTTGGAAATTTCAGGACCTGTTGATTTGAGACTATTTTAAGTCCTTCACTGACATCTGATCCATTTCTGGGTGCAATTCAGAGTTCTGTTTTTGTCCTATGTATTTTTAAACTGCTAACCCCTGGGTACTTAGAAGACTTTCTCCAATATGAATCCACCAGTTCATTTAAAATCAGCTTTGGGAGTCCTAATCAATGCTCCCTCTAAGCTGTGGAGTCTTGTGAGCAAGAATTCTACTTTGTGAGCTACTGGCATTAAAGTTTTGAGCGAGCGATCTGGCTACTGCTTAAATTAGTTTGCTCTGGAGCCATCCTTCCAGAGCTAAGACAAAAATGTGTGAGCTGAAGGCTAAAAAACTGAGCTAGCTCACACTAACTCAGCTTAGAGGGAACACTAACTCAGCTTAGAGGGAAGTTAGGTGGATGGTAGCTTGTCACAAACTCTTTTGTAGTTTTGGCACTACTTAAATGCACTTATTCGTATGGGCTTTTGATGGTCAGTGCATTTTATTGCTGGTGCTGCTGTTTGACCTATATGTTGTTCTAGATTTTATCATTTATTTTTAAATCAGGTATTAGTGATCTTGGAGGCCGATAGGTAGAGAAGGCTCAGGAGAAATAGCTCAGAAGTAGGAACTTAGATAAGCGGTACAGAGTAGGGTGCATGGATGGGGCTCGGACATCTGGAGTCTTGTGGCTATGTGAAGGTTTTCATTGAACTGAATGGCCCGAGTTAGAGTGGTTCTGGGGTTCCAACCTGCCTGCCAAAGGTGCTAGGAATCATTCTGTCTCCCCTCCCTTCTTCTGGGGATGAGGTCTGTGGTTCAAAAACTTGTCGGAAATCTCATGTGTTTAACCAAATCCTTTTCCTCCTGAAAACATCCCAGAATTGGTGGCGCAATCTATTCCTCTTCCAAGTGGAGAGAGCAAACAAGGAGGTGTGGTGTGAAGCCAACACAGATTACTGTCTGGTATCCACAACAAACTCACTGACAATTCCCAGTTGAGTTCATGACAGCCAGATTTTTTTTTCTTCCTTAAAATTGAATAACTGACCACATGTTTGTGCTGCAGATTTTTATTAACAAGACACAGTGAACCGGCGTGGTGTAGTGGTTAAGAGCGATGGACTCTAATCTGGAGAACCAGTTCGATTCTGCACTCTTCCACATGAAGACAGCTGGGTGGCCTTGGGTCAGTCACAGCTCTTTCAGAGCTCTCTCAGCACCCGAAATAAGTTTAGCTTGCCACCTAGTGGTGCATGATGCTTAAGGAGCTTGAACTTTAAGCTGCCAGACAATCTTTGGATCTCCTGGCTATATTACACACAATGCCATACAATAATTTAACAAGAAACCTAAGGCAGGGGCTCCCAGACATTTCATTGGGTGTGAGGAAGTTCACATATTTTTTTTTACTTGTTGATTTAGCTCCTTATATTGGTTCCTGTTGTGGGATTCTGGGAATTCAGGACTATATCCCTGGAACCCTCCCATTCCTCTTTAGTTGGGTGGAGACTGGCAAGGGACTGAATGAATAGAGAGAGACTGTAGTTCTTAAAACCAGTTTATTACAATATAAGCTTAAGGACAGACAGCACTTTAGCACTTACAAATCTTTTAGGATAAAAACATAACATTTCCCTATTCAGCATAGAATACTTCAGCACAAACATAGTGGACTAGTATGAAATACAGAGCGCCCTGGTGTAGTCAACAAGAGCTCACAGCTGATTGATGACCAGCCCAGAGCAAAGAAGTCTTCAACAATTTATACCCTCAGTACCCATAGGTTCAGCCACATGGATGGTGTAAGGTTAACACACTTTTAGCAGAATATCAAGGAGAACAAATTTACCCTGAACTCCAAATTTACCCTAGACAGTCAAGGATTTTATGTGTCAGATTGCATATGAAGCCCTGTAGCCAGGGTTTCCCAGAGGAAACTTCCACCAGCCATCCGGCAAATGAACCACTTTTCCCCCACAATAAATCACTTCAGTGGGGATCTTTAAGTCCCTGCTGCTCAAATTTGGTACAAATAAGGTTTTATGCTTTATTTGAGGGGCTTTCCGTATTTTAGGACTGTTGTTTGCCTTAGTTGTTTTCTGCTTCACAACTCTGTGATGTCTGCTTCATGCTATTGAAAATAGCAAGTTTCCTCAGTTTGTTTACTTCAAGAGGTGCAGCCATATTTATCACTTGTGGGGTTTGGGTATTGTTGATGGAAGGATGGGCTCTGTGAAACCTTAATGGCTTTAATAGGTTTTATAGTGGAATGTTGCACTGGAACCTGCAAGGTGCCTGATGTGGTCCATGAAAGCTTTTGCCACACTGTTAGTCTTGTGGCATCTTCAAGCCTCCTGTTAGATTTGCTTTTTTTAATGCTTCCTGTTTTTCTACATCTTGTTGGTCCCCTTTGGCTGAGTCTTTTATCTTGTGTGGTGTGAAAGTATGGGGTAAAAAAAAGGCGAGAGACCTGATCCCATCAGCCATACCGACTGGCCCCTGATTCACTTAACATAGTTCCTGTTTCTTGCTTTGTGGATTTCATCCTGTTTGGTTGTGTTTGCTGCAGATCTAGCACAGCTAAATATTTTTTAATCTTAATTTTCAAGAGGTGTAGTAGCTGTTTAATCTGTTGCAGCATTGTATTACTTTATTTATTTATACATTTTAGACCACCCTCCCCTGTATACACAAGGTTCAGAGCAGTGAACAATAAAACACATTCATAAATTAATAAAAACAGTTCAGAAAGTTAAAATAATACACATTTCCAGATGGTGCTAAAAAACTTGAGATTCCATCACTGTCTCACGGGGGCAGAAAAAGGGGGGGGGAGTACCAGATGAGGTCGAGCCTGTGGCCTCAAGTGCAGTTGCCACAAGAAATTGCAAGTAGATAAGTACCCCTTCGGTGGGAAGGTAACAGCATTCCGTGCACCTTGGTGTTTAGTCATGCCGGCCACATGACCACGGAAACGTCTTCGGACAGCACTGGCTCTTCGGCTTTGAAACGGAGATGAGCACCGCAACCCTAGAGTTGGACTCGACTGGCTTTCGAGCAAGGGAACCTTTACTTTACCTTTACTACTTTCCAGTGTTAGTTTTTTAAAAATTTAACGGCCTCTAGCCAAGCCAGAAGACGTCTATACCGGGCAGTGACGGCAATTAAAAATGAATATATGTTGTCTTCCCTATCCCCTACAAACATTGTTAGTCCCTTGTCTATGTTGAGTAACTGTACATTGCTTTGAGCCCACTGGGGAAAGCGATTAATAAATGGAAATTATTATTATTATTATTATTATTATTGTTGTTGTTGTTGTTGTTGTTGTTGTTGAGTCTTCACTGTGCTGGTTTTATTTTCTCTTGTCAACCTCAGTGGTTAATGGTATTGTTGCGGATCCCCGCTCAGGAGCCTTAATCTTAAGTGGCTCTTCTGTTGGAGGAAGAGCTACTTAAATTGGAAGTATCTAATGTAACAGTGATGGGTACATCGTGTAGTATGGTTTCCATCTAACACAAGCTGACATCAGGGACATGGGCAGTTACAGCTGGCCATTACAAGCAAGGTCACAAGTGTATGATCCCCTGTCAGCATTTAGTATTTTACCCAGAATGCATTTAATCAATGAACCAAAGTGAATATCTGAATATATGTTCATGATTGATTTCAGTTACTGTGATTAGAATCATCAAAGGCACTTAACATATGCACCATGGAAGTGTTAAGTACACCTACTAACTTAGACTAGTCAGTGGCAGAGTACAAAGTGTTTCATAAGCCGTGCGTACAACACCCACAACGACGCAAGCGCCGTTGCCACAACAACGGCGGCAGCACCCGACATGTTACGACCTACGCGTGTCGCTTCCGGTTCCTGCTCCTCCCCATTGCCACGCGCCTGTCTTCGCACAGGCGGCGGTCTTTCTCCTCAGTCCCGCCTCCTCTCCTGGCGTTGAGCCAATAGCGTTGCGTGGCTTGGCCGCGACTTCCACCGCTCTCCAGCGCTCGCTCTTACCTTCTATCAGGGAGGAAAACCGGCCGGGGCCTGCGGGCCCCGCCTACTGTGCTGCTATTGGTCTTCATGAGCTAAGGGAGGCGGGTCTTGCTGAGGGGTTTGGTGTGAGATGAAGTAGAAAAGAGAGGGTGGCTTTGCAGGGGGAGAGAGAGAAACGTCGTCTGTGCTGGACCCCGCGGCAGGGAGCGGTGAGTGGGACTTTGCCTCCTCCTCCTGGGCAGCCTGAGTGCACCAGAGGGAATGTCTCCTTTATTATAAGGGGAGGGGAAGAAAATGTGCAAATTTAGGTTCAAAGTGGCAGTTTTAACACAAGGTTGTCGGGTTTGCGAGGAAGAAAACCAAAGCACGTATATGTTTGTTGTAGCAATACCTAGGCCTCCCCAAAAGTTTTACTTTGTAGGTAGTATCTGAAATTCAGTAAAGTTTGGTTATCCCAAACGGGCAGTACGGTCTCTTAATATTTATGTAGCGTTATTCGCGTATATGGCACTTGACGGAATAGGAGGAGCAAAAGGTGTTTGAAATGTGAATTCTCTGCATTCGTGTGCTGATAAGATGTGTCCTTTTATTATTTGTTGTGTCTGGTATGCCCAGGTTAAGAGGGGGGTTCCTATGGTCATTGGCTATGGCTAGGTGATTAAGGCTAGAGTTCAAGATTCGCTTGCTTTAAGAGTCAGCCCCCAATAAATTAGGTTTTACTTCTTGAGTAAGCATGCCTAGGATTGTGGTAAAAGGCTACAGTTCTGTGTGCTTCAGGATATAGTGTGCTTAGGGCTGGGCTCTATGGTTGTCCCGGCACATTACTGTGGGTGTACATGTTCAAGTTTTACGAGCTGGTTCCTGGGGCACTTACAAAGATTGCAGCCTTATTGCTATATACTAATCTCTGGAGTAATCAGGAATAACTGTAATCTTCCTTGTTCTGTATTTATCAAAGTAGCGTCTCAGTGCTCCATGCAAACATGCTGGAAGACTGATAGGAATCTGACTGAACTGTGTTGTAAAGCACCAGAACTGAACTTTCTTTAGCTTTCCTTTTTACACTTGATGTGAAATCAGACCTTTTAAAGCTGAGTGAACTGTCTCTTTTCAAAGATCAAAATGTGTGTTAAAACAGTACATTGGTTAGTGAAGTTCACAACATCAGTGGGTTGAGTGGGATCTATAACTGGCATTTGAAGGGGGAAATTAATCAAAGGGTGGGGAGGAGTGACTCACGAACAGCCAAGGAAGCTGGCCATAAGGATACCTTTGAGTTAAACCGGCTTTGCTTAGGGTCGAATGTATCCTCATTCATCCTGATGAGGTGTCGCAAGAGTAGACTGGCTATGTTCATGCTTTGAGTTGGCAGTCCTTTTGGGGGAGAGGAACTCTTGCACAAGTTTTGTTTATACAATGGAAATCTACTCCCAAAAAGCTGCTCTGAGTGGAAGAGTAGAATCTTGTCTAGCCCCCCACAAAATTAGTGTAATCAGTTTAGGCGTACTGTTGAAAGGGGAAAGGGAACCCTTCTGTTCTTTAGCAGGTGATTCGCACTGTCAGAATGTCAATGAGTTGAGTAAGGTGGAAGTCAGCTCTGCAGACACGTAGCCTGTAGTCTGTTTTCAACATCTCAGTATCAGTACTGTTATATTCACTCCTTTGTGCTTCTGAAATAGTACTGTATTTTAAGTATTGTATATGTAATGATCTGTTGGTAGAGGGCTGAAGCTACTTAACCTGGGGGCAGCTTATAGCAGCTGTGATAAAGAGGGATACAGAACTCAAAAAAGCTCTTCCCGTGTATCCCCCCCCAAAAAAGGAAGCTCGTATCTGTCGCCCACTGGATACCTATCCACTGTTTACAAGTTACAGGGAATGCATGCACAATCCATACGCAGTGTGCACTTGATTTTTCTTTATATGAGCATTGAGTAACTCTTGTGTTCCATTCAATGTTTGTACAGCCGAATGTGTGATTTTTAACCCCACTTTTATCCTGTTCACTTTTGTAAAGTAAGTGTGCGCTGGCTCTTTCTTAAGAACTGGTGTACCTGAATGCATGCAGGATGTGCGTGTAACATGTGAACAGGGCTTTGGTGCTTATCCTTTGAGAAGGGTGGTCTGCTTGGAACAGGTGGAGAACGTCTGATGGACGTGGCTGTTGTTCAGCATCCAGGATACTTCTGATCCTTTGCAAAAGCACCATGTGGGATGTGTAATGGATCGCTTCTAGGTCAGTGCGGAAGAACAGTTGTGCGCGGAGTCTGTCTCCAGTGAGTCTCAGAAACCTTAATTCTCTTTCCTTCTGCAGGTCATGGATGGGGACAACGATCTCTGTGTGCTCCGACGCCGTTTAGCTAAGGCTGGACAGAGCCACCTGCTTCACTTCTGGGAGGAGCTGACTGTGGAACAACAGCAAGAGTTATGCACAGAGTTGCAGAGTATGAACTTGGAGGAATTGGACCAGGCCTTCCAGCAGGCCATGAGAAACAGTGACCATCTAGCAGAAAAGGAGAATGTGGATGCCAGGATGGAGCCCGTGCCGTGGGATGTGTTGGGGAGTACAACCCGAGACCGAGATCAGCTACCACTGTGGGAGGCAGAAGGTACCGAGAAGGACCCTGCTTGAGGCACAAATTAGCTCTAGGGGGCTTTGCCCACCACTGATTTCTTTGTATTATATTAAATCAGTAGGCTTTAACATGTGCAGTAGCCTCCTTTGGGAGGTCTGGATTGGTGCTGTTCCTAGATCCCTTCTTGCAAGAGTCTTGAAGGAGAGAGAAGTTGATAGGTTGGCCTGATGTTCTCATCTAGAGCAACTTAAGGACATCTTGATACCCTTATAACCAGCCTCTCATTGTAGCCATCTAATAGCTATGTGCAAGGTCGAATAATTGTTTTGCAATAAGCATACTGATTTTCCCACCTAACTTTTGGTCTTGCTTACCAACTGCTCCAGTCAGCCTGGCATATAGCATTAGCTGCTTGAAACTGAATATCATGACCTTGCTGGCATGCACAGAGATTTCAGAAACTGACAAGGTTAGTATGTGCATTGGGTGAATGCTAGGTTTTCTGACCCTTCAGTCTGGAAATGTGTGGTCTTGAACAGTAGACAAAGGTAAGTTCTTGAAATCAGGGTCTCAGAGTTCTTGGAACGAGCATGCCTTCAGTTACTTAGAAAACTAGCTTGTTGGATGCTACGCTTCTTAAAAAACTGAATTTCTTGACCATGCTTTACATTAAAAATGCTCAAAGAAAAATAAGGGGCCGTGGCACAGAGGAAAAGCATATGCTTTGTACACAGAAGGTCCCAGGTTCAGTCCTCAGTAAAAAGGTAAAGGTTCCCTTGCTCGAAAGCCAGTCGAATCCGACTCTAGGGTTGTGGTGCTCATCTCCGTTTCAAAGCCGAAGAGCCAGTGCTGTCCAAAGACGTTTCCGTGGTCATGTGGCCGGCATGACTAAACACCAAGGCGCACGGAACGCTGTTACCTTCCCACCGAAGTGGTACCTATTTATCTACTTGCAATTTCTTGCTTTCGAACTGCTAGGTTGGCAGGAGCTGGAACTAGAGACGGGAGCTCACTCCGTCATGCGGCAACTCGGGTCTTGAACTGCTGAACTACTGACCTTCCACAGCCTGCAGTTCAGCGTCTTAACCACTTGAGCCACCACAACTGTCCTCAGTACCTCCAGTTAAAAGGATAGGGTAGTAGGTGATGTGAAAGATCTCCTGCTGAGACCTTGGAGAGAGCCACTGCCAGGCAGAGCAGACGAGGCTAACCTTGACAGACACTAGGTCTGACTTGGTACAAGACCGCTTCATGTGTTCAAGGTCCACATAAACCAATCACAGCAACGACATAAATTCATCCAGTTACATAAAAACCATCAGAGGTTTTCTTTAAAAGTCATTAAAAGCCCGGTGGCAGGGCAACATCTTTACCTGTCTCCAATAAGACAGATAACATTATCTGGCCCTCCAAAAAGAGGGAATTCCACAGTGTTAGGGCGATTTCTAAGAAAGCCCTGCACGACATTTGCTGGAGTCCAGAGCTGAACTTTACTGGCAAGGAATGAGAAAGTGTGAAGAGCAGCAGTGCTCCCTTGGGTACTCTTTACTTTCTTTATACCCCACCTTTCCCCCCGACAGGGACCTAAAGTGGCTTATGTTTTTTTCTCTTCCGGGGTGTGGGTGGGTGTCTGACTGGTCTAAAGTCACACAGCAAGCTTCCATGGGGAAGCGGGGCTCTGAGTCTGGGCCTCTTAGATCCTAGACACTTGACTATTACACTAGGCTGACTCTTGGTGCTTTAAAGGTTAAAACCCAACACCTTGACTTGGGCTGGAAACAGATTAATGAAGTTATTTTTTAAAAAATCACACCTTCCTTTCTGCTGTTAAAAGTAATACTCGAGGCACAGTTCTTAAATTATTAGTAAAATATTAGTAAAACTCCTTCCTGCCTCTCCAAACCTCTCCAAACCTATCAGCAAATAGGCAGTGGTATTCTGGACCAAGTGTAATTTCCGGACGTTTTCAGAAAGCAGCTCCACACACAGCACATTGTGATATTCAAATCTGGATGTAAGCAGTGTGGATTCCTTCCACTTGTGTGTTTCCCTTTAGGTAACCGATTTCTCAGGTGTCCTTCAAGATGTTACAGAGAAAACTGAATCACGAGCCAATTGCCCTTTCTTGGAGGGGGGGGGGGAACAGCTAGATTCAAGTTCAGTAGCAACTTAGAGACCAAGAAGGTTTTCGGGCTATGAGCTTTCGGGAGTCAAAGATCCTTTCATCTGATCTCATGGAGGGAGCTGGGAGTCTCACAAGCTTATACCCCCAAAATCTTATTTGTCTCTAAAGTGCCACTGGACTTGAATCTTGCTGTTCTGCTGGAGACCAACACGGCTACCCTCTGAAACTATCCTCATGGGTGGAGGAGATTCCTGTGCTGTTGGTCTTGATTTTTAGAGGAGCTTGCTAAGTAGAAGAAGTGTGGTGCCCTACATGTTAGTCTGCCCTACCCACTGAGTACACAAAAGAAAGTATGAAATTGGCTGTGCTGATTCATAATGTAGCAGCTCTTTCAGACACCACACAATATGAATACAGGCTGAACAGGGCCTTTAGAACTACCTGTAGCTGTGGAAGCCATTCCAGCATCACTTCTAGTCTTGAGAGGTTCAACAGCAGAACTCGGTCATCTGGGGACATAAGCAAAGACCTTTTCTAATTCTGCTCTCTGCAGTTCCTTGCTGCAGTTAATGGGAAAGGCCCTTGTACGTACTAGACATATGTCACAGCCCATCACTTGTATAAAATCTGGCAGTAGCTTTCATTTACATTCTTTTTGGTACCCCTTTCACCTCTTGGGAGAGCCAGCATGGTGTAGTGGTTAAGAGTGGCGGACTCTAATCTGGAGAACCAGGTTTGATTTCTCCACTCTTTCACATGAAAGCCTGCTGGGTGACCTTGGGCCAGTCACAGTTCTCTCAGAACTCTCTCAGCCCCACCTACCTCAGAAGGGGACTGTTGTGGGGAGAGGAAGGGAAGGAGATTGTAAGCCACTTTGAGACTCCTTAGGGTAGAGAAAACCAACTCTTCTTCCTTTCCAGTTAGCACTTTGTGTACCAGTTTTGTTGCCAAGGAGGCTGAAGGTTGAATCCAGCAATACCATATGTAAAGGTGCCAACTTACCACATGCTTAGTGTGTTTGGAGAAAGCGAGGTTGCAGCAAACATGAACCCTAAATGCTTGAGGACAAAGTAGAGACGATATTGGGGTTGGTTCCAGTACAGTGTTTTCAGGGGTGCAAGGACTTTTGCCTACAGACCAAAATTTTCATGGCTTCCTCTTCCTGTAGCAGCCTGAAATGCCCCCCCCCCCCAATGTTTTGTTCCGGTGGATCGCCTGTGTCCCAGGAATAGGATTTCTGGGAGCATTTGGGGCTGTTGGGGAGCTGAGAAAGTTGGGATCTTCGGACAAAAGTCCTTGCACCCGTGGGCGTGTTGCTGTGGATGCTACCTATTTTGTCTAGATGAACAAAAACCTTAAAGCATAATAGTGTTCCCGAGTCTAATAGCTATGCTGGTTGCAGTGAAAGGACAGATTAGGTAAGAAGCCAAAAGGTTTTAAGTTGTATGGCATTCTTCAGGCTGAGAACATTCAGTATTTTGTAAGGTGCTGCCGAAAGATAACTCCCATGGGTTACTTTTGTCACCCTGTTGGGTGAGTTTACTTCTATCTTCCTCCATTTAAAGGTCAGTTTACCTAACGCTTAAATAAATTTAGGCTTGTTTCCAAGCAGGAAGTCATCCAGGAAACATTTGGCCTTGGAGAGGCCAGAGCTTTTGCTATATGCTCTGTAAATGTTATGTGGATAAATGCCTGTTATTGGAACTCCTGTAAGAAAGCTGTAGGCTTTTGTTGCACTTGGGACATGGCTCCTCTGTCACATTTTGTGCTGGCATCCTTTTGCAAAACTGAATCCTGAGGCACGTGAAGGGACCAGTTTGGAGGAATCATGATGAGTGCCTTTCCTTAGGCCGGGATATCTGAGATCCGTGTAGGCTGCCTAAAAGTCTCTTTGCGGTCCTCAAAATAAAATAAATGCAGCCTCTGAGAACGACTTGGGGAGTAGTTTAGAGCATGGCAGGTTCCTCGCCTGGCCTCAAGCTGAACAGATCATTGTGCGGTGTATGATCAGAATGTGTGTGGAGCTTTGGAAGGCAAGGTCAAGTAAGCTCTCTTTTTCTTACTGTCGTACAACAACGCTTGAGTGGCTTGCGGTAAATGTAGAAAAATAAAGAGAAATGAGAACTATCATCAATAAAATTACCATGTGCGAAATTATGAGAATAATGAAAGAAGGACAGATGTTTTGCTTTATAAATCAATTTAGGTTTTTGAAATGAAAATGTGTTGGAAATTTAGCAGAGTGTGTGAGACGCAGCAGAATTAATGTATCACAAGGCAACGGTGTGTTTAGCTGCTAAGAAAAATATTTACGAGAAAACATAGGGAAGGGTTACATGGAAGGAAAACGACATCCTAACTAGCTAATCTTTCTAGTTCCAACTCCATCTTGTTGTCTCGTCTTTGTGTCTCATGTTCTGACCCTAAGAACAAAGGAGTGGAAGTTCCCCTCCCCAAAGCCCCACTCCTTGTGTACATGCAGAACAGCATGTAGTCCAATATATTGACTAGCCAATAGTCAATCTTAAAGGCAACTCATTAAAAATAAAACCTCCCCCTTGTTGGCGGGAATATTCTATTCGACACCTAATTGGTTCTATGCTAACTAGCTATCATGAGCTTACAGGAACATCAGCATAACCCTTTCATGACTGGAGGGATGACACTTGCAAAACCAACAAAATGTCTTCCAGAAGCCAGTAGGGAGGAGCCAAGCAGATGTATATAAGTGTATACAGACACGCTGAGTTAAATAAAACAGGATCCCGGTGGCGTAACTTCTGTTTGCTGTGCTGTAGGAATTAATGTTGGCATGGCGATCCCTTCTCCATGCTGTTCCTGGTTTGCAAGGTACAAAGACTGCACCCCTGTGTCCATGTGATTGGGAGGAAGTCCTTCTCTGTGGGACTGAGACGTGCAGCAGCATGAACTTGCTATCCTACTTCCATAACAGATCCAGTAACAGAGATCTTCAGAACTGTTTTGGTTTCTGGGGGCCAATAAATCACTTTCTTTTCCGTTTTTTCTCCCCTTTCCTTGGTTTAGGTCTCCACCAGATTTCTCAGAACAAAGTAGCCGTTCTCCTCCTAGCTGGTGGGCAGGGGACGAGGCTGGGTGTCTCCTACCCCAAGGGAATGTACAGTGTTGGTTTGCCGTCCCGCAAAACCCTGTTCCAGATCCAAGCAGAGCGCATTTTGAAACTGCAGCAGCTGGCTGAAGAACGACACGGCCTGAAATGTGTTATTCCCTGGTAAAGAATGTCTCTTGGATACTTCTGTCATTCAGTTAAGAGTTATTTAGGAGTGGATTGCAGGTAGTGATCTGAAATACTAGGCAGTACTTCTGGCTTGGTGGTTGTTTCAAAGATAAGTTTTGCTAGTCTTATAATTAAAGGAGTCAGTTTGGTGTAGTGGTTAAGTGCGGGGACTCTAATCTCGGAGAACCGGATTTGATTCCCCACTCCTCCACTTGCACCTGGCTGGATGACCTTGGGCAAGCCATAATTCTGGCACAGCTGTTCTTGAAAAAGAGCAGTTTCTGTCAGAGCTCTCTCAGGCCCACCTACCTCACAAGGTGTCTGTTGTGGGGAGGGGAAGGGAAAGGAGTTTGTAAGCCGCTCTGAGACACCTTTGGGTAGTGAAGGGCGGGGTATAAATCCAATCTCTTCTTCTTCTTCTTAATGGGGGTAGGTATATCAGTCTTCTGCAGGAATCCCTAAAACAGCACACAGTAAATACCTTTGTCTTGCATTTTGCTGTTGCTTTTTAGAGCAAGTTTGTTACTCTGAAGGTTATAAAAATAATTCCATGCATCTTTATCCTACCCTTCTCTCAAGGAACTCAAAGCATTGTATGTTATTCTCTCCTCCTCTTCACTCTCACAACAACCCTATGAGGTAGGATTGTCTCTCAGCTTTCATGGCAGAGTGGGGATCTGAACCGGGGTCTCCCAGATCCTGGTCAGGCGCTGTAACCACTTTACTGTGTTTGCTGTAAAGATTTGCCTGAGAATATGTGGGCAGCGTTTCCTGGGATCTTAGTAGCTGGAGAGGTGGCTAAGTCAGGTTTCCCTCTGCTCTGTTTAACTTACTGCCCCTCCCATTTGTCACGGAAACCAAAATCAGTTGGGCAGAGAGAATAAAAGCTAAAGAATAAATTCACAGAACTCGCACTCAGCTTCCACGTTTTGTAGACATTACAGATTTCCAGCCTTATTTTGTAACTTAATTTGGTATGCCACTATTTCTAGCATGGAGCACACATGGTCCTGTTGTAAACATTTCAGCGTGTTCCAGTGGTTACTGTAGGTGGAGACAAACAGGAGCTGAAGGTATTCGGCTCTTTAATCTTTCAGACACCAAAAGGCCATATAGGACATGTCAGCCTCAATCTATTTGTTGTAGGTTTTATTCTGTTTTCCCCCCAACTTCTAGGTTGCCTTTTTTTCTGAATATGTAACAGTAAGATTTGTATGCTTCCAGAGGAGCTTTCCCCTTACATTTCTCCTGACTCTGATAGAGACTGTGTGCCTCTTGGGGTGGGGTGGGGATAATTCTCCTGCAGCGGTCGGTGCCGGCGTATTATATCACAGCTGATACAGAGATGGCATAAAGCTTCCTGCCTTCAACATAAGTGGATGAGAAGGAGGCAGTTCCACAGCTGCAAAACATATAGCGGAACACCTTCTATCTTTAGGCTCACGGGAGTCTTTTTAAAAAATGACATACAGTTTGATAGTCATACACTGGCACCACCTGGAATGAAGTCTTGGATTTAGGAAATGTCTGCTTCTGGTGTGACTTGGAGGTGAAAGGTAGAGTAATTTCATGGTCCCTTGCACTGTTAATCCAGAACAAAGCTGTATCAGGGAGCTTGCACGCATTGCCAGTTCTATTGCAGCTGTTAGCAATTTCCTGGGGGGGGGGATTTTCCCCTTCTTGCTGCTCTTGGGAGATAAGACTTGATTACCCATGATCCAGTCTGAACTGGACTTGTGATCTCTTGGGAGCCCTTGGGTACAATCTCTTTCAAAACCTACCAAAAAAGGGTGGGGGAACAGAGTGTGTGTGTGTGTGTGTGTGTGTGTAATCATGGCTTGGGTGTTCCAGGTTGCAATGCTAGGGACACTTTCCTGGGAGTAAGTACCATTGAATAAAGTAGGGCTTACTTTGTAATAGACCTCCCTAAGATCGCTGTCTTAGTGAGCTAGGATTCTCTTCTTGTGCTGAGACAGGTACATCATGACAAGCGGCAGGACAATGGAGTTGACCAAAGAATTCTTTCTAAAGCACAAATACTTTGGCTTGAAGAAGGAAAATGTGGTCTTCTTCCAGCAGGGTATGCTGCCTGCTATGGACTTTGATGGGAAAATTCTCCTGGAAGACAAGGGCAAAGTTTGTATGGCACCGGGTATGTGGTTTTTGAAGTACTTTCATAGAAAACAAGGATACAAATTTATCTTATTGGGAGTAGACTTGACAGAAAGCATCCTCACTAGACTGAAACATTTCAGGGACAGAAAAGTTTCATATAACTGCAGCTGGCAACAGGTGGAACAGATTTTATTTACTCTAACCTAGGCAAATCTATGTTATCAACTCTCTGTATGTAACTTGTTTTACTTTAAAAAATCATTTATACAAAATTACTTCATACAACTAAATTTTATCATCCTTGTCTTAGTGCCATTGCTTACTGGACGTTTCATGCTCTTTGACAACGTTGTTTTACAGTTTATAATCCGCCAGTAAATCTGTCCTACAAGTTGAGTAACAATTATAAATAGTAATTTTTTTTGGTCCCATTGATGACATAGGATTTTCAAGGCAAGAGATGTTCAGAGATAGTTTGCCATTGCCCGCTGCTGTGTAGCAACCCTGGTATTCCTTGGTGGTTTCCCCTGCATGTACTAAACAGGGCTGACCCTGCTTAGCTTCTGAGATCTGATGAGACTGGGGTAGCCTGGCCCAGGGTTGGTCATAAATTACACTAAGCTCATGTTGTATGGTAGTAATGACCAATGCTCCCTCTAAGCTTGTGGGAGTCTTGTGAGCACAAATTCTACTTTGTGAGTTACTGGCATTAAAGTTGTGAGTGAGTGATTCGGCTGCTGCATAAACTAGTTTGCTCTAGAGCAGTGATGGTGAACCTTTTAGAGACCGAGTGCCCAGACTGCAACCCAAAACCCACTTATTTATCGCAAAGTTCCAACACGGCAATTTAACCTGAATACTGAGGTTTTAGTTTAGAAAAAGCAATTCATACATTAACATAAGATGATCCAAACAAAGTCAGGAAAGCAATCCCAAATGCTTTCATTTACTTAAGATTATTTGGCAGAGAATTCCACACTTTAATGATGGTCTGGGCCTGGCTGGGGCGATGGCACGTGTGCCCACAGAGAGGGCTCTGAGTGCCGCCTCTGGCACGCGTGCCATAGGTTCGCCACCACTGCTCTAGAGCCATCCTTCCTGAGCTATGACAAAAATGTGTGAGCTGGAGGCTAAAAAACTGTGAGGTAGCTCACACTAACTCAGCTCAGAGGGAACACTGGTAATCACCAATGCTCCCTCTAAGCTGTGGAGTCTTGCGAGCAAAGATTCTACTTTGTGAGCTACTGGCATTAAGGTTTTGAGCCAGCAATTTGGCTACTGCATAAATTAGTTTGCTGTGGAGCCATCCTTCCTGAGCTAAGGCAAAAATATGTGAGCTGGAGGCTAAAAAAACTGTGAGCCAGCTCACACTTACTCAGCTTAGAGGAAACACTGGTAATAACTGTTTTATTTTATTCAATGTGACTGTGTTGAAATACATCAAAAGAATATCAGTACTTCAGCTGCATAAGGTCAAATGTATTTAATGCCTCCTTTTTAACTCTCCCTTTGTATCTTTGAGGGATTGAATTGTGAATACTTAGTGTTTTTAATGGCTCTCTTTAAATTGTTTTATTACAGTAGTACCTTGGAGTCAAAAGAACATCTCAAAACCACTTCTAAAAATAAACAGATGTATTCTCAGTTTGCTGTGCCGTGGTTAAGCCAGCAAACTGCTAGATTTAATGTAACAATCAGAAAACAAAATTGGTTGTACAGCCTTAGAGAAATGCATTAATCCAGCACTTTATAAAGAGCAACTTTAGGTTAGGTGCTTGATCTTGAACAAGAAGGCATTTTGAGGGAGAGTAGGCACCGGAGACTTTGTAGGAGGGAAGAGTGATGTAGTAGGTTAATCATCCTGTTCGGATCTCTCTCTTTTTTTTCTTAGCTGTTTCTTCAGTGGTCCTAGGCCATGTACACCCACCTGGGGTCCTTAATCAGAGAAACGCTAAAAATGTCCTTGCTGTACCTAGGCTGTACCACTTCTGATGCATATGGAGGCTTTGCATGCTCCTACCTATATACTGTTTAAACGCATTACAGTACAGTGAAGTGCACACTATCTTATTGTGGCCACATATCCCATAACTTAAGATAACTGTTTAATATTTCATGGTCCCCTGAAGGGAAATTTACCAAGAACAGTTTATTTTAAGTACAGGTCTTCCCAGTAAATCTCCGCTTTTAATCAGGAGAGGCATTGTAAAAGAGTTTAATCTAGCCAGAAGCTATGAAATGGAGCCTTTGGAATGTAGCCTTTTTGTGACCCCTGGTTCCTTGCTGGGAATACTTCCGTGACTTGGGAAGGAGGAGAGGCCAGAGAGAGGCCAGCTTTTGGTGTCCTTGTCTTTGCCTGCAATATCTCTTCCCCTTTACGGAGGGGCACGGAGGTGTAAGCTTTCAGGGCTTCAGGGATGGGAGGAAGTGTATGGCTTTCTCCGTTTTTCTGGAGAAGCAAAGTTCTCTCAAATAACAAAGTGAAATAGGAGGCGTCATAACTGAAGGAAAGGGGGGGGGGCAGTGAACCTGTGCTGGTCAGTAGCCTTTCCTGCTCCCACTGTCATTGGAGTCCCAGAGCAGCCTATGTGAGCCTCTTGCTTTGGTCACTGTATTATGGCCCCAACTGTCATGCTCCTCTCACTCCCTTCGTAGTGGGGGGGGGGAATACAAAATACAAATAGAACGCAGAGGAGCTGTAGGTTGCCAGCCAACATGTGTGTATGCTTTCTTCAGTAGCTGTCGCAGCTGCTTTGGTCAGTTCATCACTTGCAGCTAAAATGCCTTAAAAAAAAAAAAAAAGGCTCCCAGTTAAACACCGGGTTCTTGCCTTTCAAGAACAAAGCTGCCTGGGCCCTGCAAACCAAATGGAAGTTGTCCTTCTGTGTGAACCTCCCTGGTCCCTTAGGCCTTTGGAGGAGGCTCTGTTCCAGGTGCTGTGCCTGTTGCTGACGTAATGCTGGTGGACAGGTGAAGTGCCCCCTTAGTATAGTGCCCCCATGAAGAAGCTTCTAGAGAGCCATGGCAGGTTTCCTCCTGAGGGAGGGAGAACTTTGACTCTATTTAGAAACCATTTGTGGCAAACCGAATTAATGTCCGCAGTGGTGCTGCTGATGCGTCTAATTTTTTTAATTGAGAATGCGATGAATTTATGAACTCCCACAACCTGCCTTTTTGGGTCCGGCAAAGCCCGAGAATGGTGGGATAGAAACTGATTTCAATTGGCGAATGTCTGGCACACTGAAGTATTCTTTCTCCCAACATCCTTCTTAAAGACGGCAATGGCGGCCTGTACAGAGCTTTAGGCACCCAGCGGATCGTGGAGGACATGGAACGGCGGGGCATCGGCTGCATCCACATCTACTGTGTCGACAACATTTTGGTGAAAGTGGCTGACCCCCGGTTCATTGGGTTCTGTGTACAGAAGGGAGCTGATTGCGGAGCAAAGGTACATGGTATTGCAAGGAGGCTGCATGGAATGGATTCCTTTTCAGTCTGTAATGTACAGTGGCTCTGTGTAGTCTTGGGGATCAGGTACAGACAGCTGCTGTGCTGTTGGTTCTAGAAAAATTAATATATCAACTCGACCAGCCACAGTAACAACAGAGTAACAGTATATCCTGTGGTTACAATAGCACTACAACAATAGAATAAACAATCACAACAAATACTTCTGATAGATTATATCATCAAAATATAACAGTAGAATTTGAACAAAAGTTCTCTCACATGTAGTGTTCTCAAAAACAAAAAAGTGTGGTTCTTCTAATACTCTTTATCTGTATATTCTTATTGTGTATTAGAGTCCATAAATAATAAATAGGAATCTTCCTTTTTAATGCTGATATGTTTTCTAGATAATTTCCATGTTTCGAGGCAAAACCTTCTTCTAAGCAGATTCCATAATTCCAAAACGCAATAAGAATATACACATAAAGAGTATTAGAAGGAAGAACCATACTTTTGTTTTTGAGAACGCTACATGTGAGAGAACTTTTGTTCAAATTCTACTGTTATATTTTGATGGTATAATATATTTGTCATGATTGTTTATTCTATTGCTGTTGTAGTGCTATTGTAACCACAGGATATACTGTTAGTTCTAGGAAAATAACAGATTGAAACTAGAGCAACTCTTACCATCTGTTTTTTAAACATAACCTCACAAGGTGGCCCCCTCCGGCAAGCCGGTGTTCTCTCGGCTTCAGACTCTCCCCCTGGAGGCTGCTTCCACCAGGACTGCTGAGAAAGTACTTTTGATATTTATCTAAAGTACTTAATGTACACTGTGTAAAATGGTGAGCATTGTCACATGGCTACTGAAATAAGTTGGTGTGTTAGCGTCACTGTTAATTTGGGAGTATGCAGGCTTTTGTGTTGAATGTAGCTCTGTAGAACAGAATAAAAGTGCAGATGAAATCACAGAAAACTTTTCTGCAGGGAAAAATCCACTGCAGAGGGAGTTCTTTGTAATTCTTCTGCCATCCCCTGGTCTTAAAGGTTCGGTGTAGTGGTTCAGTGCGCGGACTCTAATCTGGGAGAACCGGGTTTGATTCCCCACTCCTCCACTTGCAGCTGCTGGATGACCTTGGGCAAGCCATAGTTCTGTCAGTGCTGTTCTCTCAAGGACAGTTCTGGAAAGAGCTCTCTCAGCCCCACCTACCTCACAGGGTGTCTGTTATGGGGAGGGGAAGGGAAAGGAGTTTGTAAGCCGCTCTGAGACTCCGAGTGAAGAGCGGGGTATAAATCCAATCTCCTCCTCCTTATGTGATAGAACCGAACCAGTTGTTTTCCACTTGAAGGATTGCAACACAGTTTTATTTGATTTCCTCCATTGTAGAGTAAGCGTGTTCCAGAATAAGTGGCCCACTGAAAGACTCCAGGAATTTTTCTCCTAGTAGCTCAATTTCCTAGTTCTGTATTTCTAATTAAGTAGTGAGCAGGGTGGCTTTCTCTTCCAGCTGATGGAAGAAGTTGACTGCTCTTCCACTAACTTTTTATGCCTTTTGCTGAAGGAGAGGGATGACAGAGTTGGCTATATAGTTGGCTCCCAGCCACCATGAATAAATGAACAGATAGGCATGAAGTGCAGATCCCATGTGTGGAGTTCAGTCACTTCCCCATCCTTACAATTCCCTCAGGGACACAGTTTCCCCCCCCCCTTTTGTTGAATTTGTATATGTTTTTTGCAGTACAATGAACACATGAAGCTGCCTTATACTGAATCAGACCCTTGGTCCGCCAAAGTCAGTATTGTCTATTCAGATTGGCAATGGCTCTCCTAGGTCTCAGGCAGAGACCTGTCACATCACCTACTGCCTGATCCTTTTATCCGGAGATGCTGGGGATCACACCTGAGACCTTCTGCATGCAAAGCGGAGGCTCTTCCACTGAGCCACAGCCCCTCCTCGGTGTTAATGAAATCCTTCACTTCACCCGAACACAGAATAACCCATCCTTTGTTTTGGGGTGATACCTCCTGGGGAGGGCCCCATAAAATGCCTTTGACGCTTATCCAAGCCTAAGAAAGAAGTCTGATAAAGGGCCAATATTAAAAAAAAAAAAAAAAACTAGTGTAGACTTATAATATATTAAAAATCCATGTATGTATTAGAAAGACAGTTAAAAACAAATAAGAGCCCAATGGAAGCCTCATTGCAAAGTGCAAGTGGCCTGAACACAAGGGCCAATACAAGTGGCTTTGCAAACACATCTGCCCTTCTGTTCCGGCCACATGCACACCTTTACCGTTTCTAGCAGCCCTTTCAACTGCATGCTGTGCCTGTCCTCTCTCAGGTCGTGGAGAAGACCAATCCCACCGAGCCAGTTGGCGTGGTGTGCCAAGTGGGTGGCATCTACCAAGTGGTGGAATACAGTGAGATTTCTTTGGCCACGGCGCAGAAGAGGAGTCAGGATGGTCGGCTTCTGTTTAATGCTGGAAACATCGCCAACCACTACTTCACGATCAAGTTCCTGAAAGATGTTGTCAAGTACGGGCATCCAACGGTCGTGGACTGTTTGCGTAACCTAATGCTGAATGTTTTTCACTCTTCTATTACAGGTCAAAATCTGTATTTAGTCAACACCCTTTCCTTTCAAGCATTCTTGGGGTGTTGCATCTTTTCCTGGTTCATACCTCCCCCCCCCCCCCCCCTCCTGGGTCTCCTGCTGTCTCCCTGTTCATTGCTGAGGATGTAGAGCCAATTGGTATGTGCAGCAGAATCAACTTGGAATTGTTTTTTTTTCCTGGACTGTACCACTTCTAAGTGGAGGTAGGAGACAGGAATTGCACATTTGAATTCACCTACCATGGTTTGGTGCAGCTTAGCTTTTTGTTTTTTCCGGAGCATGCTGTATTCCCCCCCCCCCCTTACCAGGGAGTCTTTTCTATCTTTCTCCTCTTCCCCCTCCACAGATTTAGGGAATTTTGAAACGTGCAGTATTCTCCCTTGCAGCTGGAGTTGGTACACTCCAGGGAAAGTGTTATCTCTTGATTGTGCTGCATGTCTTATATGATCCATATGGTCCCCTGCCTTCATTTGAATACTAAATGATTAAACAAATGAGGATTGGACCACCAGTTAGCCCTATCAAGGGAATTCTGGAGCTCAGTAACCTTTGCTGTCAATCAGTTTTGTTATTCTGGAAAGACACCATGCTAATCAATTGCAGCAGAACCGTATTCTCTTATTCTTAAACCTTCTAGTTTGTAGTTAACTTGTTGGGTGTGGAAAGCACTGTCCTCAGTTGGTGTGCATCTGCTTATTGTGGATTCCACTTTATGCACATGACTGCCTAGGCTCTAGTTTATGAAGGGTTATGCTTCAGGAAGTCATTATTACTTTTGGCCAAATGTTACCAAATGGAAGAAGAGAAACAGTAGAATACAGATTTACCCCTATTGATTCCCCCAGCCAGTGCACATGAAATTGACTCCTCTGCTTTATCAGGAAAGGTACCTGGGGAACATATGGCGCCCCAGGGTTATTTAAACCATTTTCTGACAGGTAGGCCTCAATATTGACCAAGTTGTACACCCAGATTAGTCCCACAGGTATGTTTCCAGCTGGGTGGAAACAAAACATTGCCCCAGTGTTCAGAAAGGGCATTGAGTAGGACCTGTGTAATTGCTGTCCAATATACCTTTTGGACATAGTCTCCAAAGTTACGTGCTAAATACCTCTTGAAAGAGTCCAGTCGTGTAATCCATCCTAAAAGCTTATGCTGCAATAGGTCTTTTACGTTTTCAAGACATTGTGTAACTTTTTAAAGTTTGCTTTTGAATGCTGGTCCCACCACCAGTCTTTTAAATCCCAGGGCTGGGATGATTTAGCAGCAACCAGAACAGTAAATCTGCAAACAAACATTCTTCCCGGGGGCTTCTGCCTTTGCATGATTCCCTATGAGCTTCTGCAAATAATTGCCATATGTAGTAAACGTGGAGGTCCAAGTGAGGGGTGTTAATTAAGATCTCTGAATTCTGCCTGCATTTGGCCCAAGGTCTCCGTATTAATTCAGGCATCTGTAAATACAAAGCGTTTCGAAATTCCACTAGGTTCAGCTTCTCCCACCCTGGTTTTACAATTGTCCACCTTCCCTCTCTCTTCCTTGTTTTAGTGCAAGGTTTTCACACTCTATCAAAGAACTGCCTAGTCCAATATTCAGTTTGCAGCCACAGATGGCCAGATGGCTTACAAGCATGGCATGAAGGGGGTTTCCTTCCATTGTTGCTCTCCCCCAGTATCTAGTACATGGAAATTGCATTTGACCCTAGACAGACCCAGCCCTCCAACTGCTGATCAAACCACACATGCTTTGAATGGAACCTGCGCGAGGTTGTGTAAATTACCCAAGTTGCTTTCAGGTTGCCTGCGACAGGCTGTTGGTTCATACATTTGTGTTGCGTTCCTAAGCCACTGATCTGCTCGCTTTAAGCATATTTGAGTCTGATTTTTTTCCCCTTAACCTTGTTCCAGCATTTATGAGCCACAGTTGCAACACCATGTAGCCCAGAAGAAGATCCCATACATGGACGTGGTCACTGGGAAGCTTTTGAATCCAGACAAACCAAATGGGATTAAGATGGAGAAGTTTGTATTTGACATCTTCCAGTTTGCTAAGTAGGTTCCATTGGCCCTTCTAGCTTGCTTGTCTGTCTGTGGTCAAGAATGATGTGTCTGCTGCATTGCCATTTGTGTTCTGCGCCATTCCACCCGTGTGCTCTAGCGGTCAGTGTGTTGGCCTACAGTCTGGCTGACCCAGATTTGGATCCGTGCTCTGCCATGGAAGCTGGCTGGGTAACCTTGAGCCAGTTGTGCTCTCTCAGCCTAACCTAGCTCACAGCCTAACCTGCTGTTGTAAGGATAAAATGGCATAGGTGAGAGATCAGGGGTGCGTTCAGACGGGCCGTTTAGTCTGCTTTCGGCACGCTTCAGTAACGGATTTTATATCCGCGTTCACACACCCAACAGCTGCGCACCGTCCCTAGCCGTCACTTTCTGGCTCAAACCCCCTTTAAAACGGAGTATTTTGTTACCAGGTCCCCAAGTGGTGTTTTCCTGATTCTCCGGTTCTAGCCGCACTTTTCTCACGTCTGATCACTCCTGTGGTGTCAAGCCACTTCCGGTTTAAACCCCCTCCCTGCTCGAAAGCTGCCTGAGGCTTCCGCTTTTTGCCCGCCATTTTTTAATGCTTGGCGGTGCGCGCATAGGCGGAGCTCCGCCACTGCGTTTAGAAAACTGACATTAAAACAGTCACTTATTTTAGCATTTAGATGAGTTCGGGATCTCACGGAGGCCATTTTCAGGTCAGATGTTTAAAGGGAAGTCTTTTGTTGGAGGGGTTGGATTGATTTGCCCTGGTGGTTCTACGCATGCGCCATAGTTCCCCCCTTCTACGGAGGGGCACCTATGTGCTTGCACAAACTGAGGAGAAATTTTTAAAAGCCCACCGACGCACGCTCCCGCGTGTCAGTAGTGTGGATGCCGGGGAGCAATGTGACTGCGTGGTTAGGCGGGATAAGGGAGGTAAGTGTGATCACGATTATCCAGATCAAATATAATCTGGTTAGAACCGGAGCAGTTTAACCCGCTCTCAGCACGCCGTCTGACCGCACCCCAAGTGTTGTAAACAGTTTTAGGTTCCCCCTGCGAAGGAAAACAGGGAATGAAGAAATACATCAGTATAAACAAATAAACTTTGGTCTATGACTTTCAGCTTTCTTTAAAGCTGTGTATTAACCCTCATGGCTTCAGAATGTGAAAGGAATGCTCATCGCTTTATGGGGTGGTGGAGTGGGCCAGCTCCAAGGCTGGCTGGGAAACTGAGCTGCCCGGAATCTTCAGGCACAAATAGCCAGGAGAGGGGCAAGAAGGTCTCATTATGCAGAGATCAGAAAGAAGCATTTTGCCCAAGCCTCTGACAAATCGAGGTATATATTCACTTTTTTACTCCACTCTTCTCTCCAGCAGGGACCTAAAGCGGTTTACAAAACACAATTTAAATAAACAGAAAAAACAAACAGTGCAATGCATGACATCCTAGGCCTAGTCCTGGATCTTCCGGCCCAGCTCGTTGAAGGCCACTAGCAGCGACCCATGGGCTAGGAGTCCTTGAACTAGGGTGTGACCAGAGGGCATGGGCCAAACAGCTGCAACAGAGAAGGGACAAAAGCTCAGCTCAGGTCTCATTCACCTGGCAAAGACGTTCCCGCCCTTCTTCCCGTGGGGATGGCGGGGCTTGCAAGGATCATTCGTGGATTTACTATGAGACTGTCTTGGGGATCAGTGGGTACCAGTTCTGGTCCATTGGGAATCTGCTCAAGGTACTGTGGTGTTTCTGGCCTCATTCCATTGCCCCATCTATAGGCTGTTGTGTTCTGTGTCTGAAGGCTTCGAACTCCAAGGAGGCTCTAGGTAGGGTTTCCATTGCAGGCCTTTCCTTTCCTCGTCTGAATCCTTGTCACTCTACATGGCATCTGAGTTTATTACTAATGCCCAGGCGTAAGTTTGCACGTACCAGACCCACTTCTGCTTTCTGTCCCATCCAGGAAGTTTGTGGTATACGAGGTGCTGCGAGAAGATGAATTCTCCCCGTTAAAGAATGCAGATAGCCAGAATGGCAAGGACAACCCCACCACCGCTCGTCATGCCCTAATGTCGCTGCACCACCGCTGGGTCCTCAACTCTGGTGGCCACTTTGTGGACGAAAATGGAACCCGCCTCCCTGCTATTCCCTGGTAAGTTGTTCTTGGCCTTCCTCCTCCTTTTGCCTCTAGTTCTTTGTAATCAGAGCATGGGGAGGGGCTGTGGCTCAGCTGTAGAGCACCTCCTTTGTGTGCAGAATTCCCTAGGTGCAGTTCCCAGAATTTCCACTTAAACGATGCAGGTAACAGGTGAGTCTGAAAGCCCTCTACCTGAGACCCCTGGAGAGAAGACAAATACGGACTTTGACAGACCCGTGAGGTGGGATGCAATCACTCTTTGCCTGTGTTTCACATACCATGCTGCAGATGTCTCTGGTGCTTAATTCGCCCCCCCAACCTGACTTCTTTTGCGTAGCTAAAGCCATTGTACTGTGTGTGGGATTCAAAATTGCAGATGCAGCTGTGGTGAACATCTTGAAGGTCCCTGGGTTTAAGGGTGGTGGGGAAAGGAAGAACCCAATTGTGTAAGGGCAAGCTCCAATGCTCCCTCGTTCAGACTTGGGCCCCACGTTATCAAAACTGCTGGAGAATCTCCCCCATAGACCTCATCTTCCCAGCACATACCAGCCTCTCCTAGCCGAGGGTGGTACCAGCAGCAAGCAGGTTCTCTCCTGGGTTGAAAAAGCTAGTAAGCCGCCTTGGGTGCTGTATTAGACTCCATAACTGCAAGCAAAGCCAATCTGTGAGCCTCCAGAGTGCTGACGTGAGTGAATCCAGAAGGAGCTCTTTTGTCCTTGGAAACTGTTGAAGGCAAATTAGGCAAGGTGGAGTGGGTGTCTGCCTTCCGTAGCTGCCTCAGTTGGTTGTACTTTCTGCTTCATGATGTATAAACCAGTCTCAAGATAACATCCTTGTTACAATAGTCTGAGCTCTTAAAAATTTTAAAGGCACCCGGCAGAGAAAGCAGGATAGCTGCTCTTTCCAGGCCAAGTGCTCTACTACACTGAGCCCCCCACCCCTCCTTAAACTCTGGGCATGAACGCAGCTTGGTGCTGTAGCAGCCTGCACCCTTCGCCTTGGATGCATGTAGTCTGATGCAAAACTTGCCAAAGCGATGAAGGTCCAGTTCACCATTAAGTGTAAATGTTGATGAACTGGAGTTTGTGTTTACTCCAGGCAGAGCTGGGAATCATAAGAACATAAGAGATGCCAATGTTGGATCAACCCAAAGGCCCATCCCGTCCAACACTCTGTGTCACACAGTGGCCAGAAATACCAGTGTCATCAGGAGGTCCACCAGTGGGGCCAGGACATTAGAAGCCCTCCCACTGTTGACCCCCCCCCAGCACCAAGGAGACAGAGCATCACTTGCCCCAGAGTCCCTATCTATACCTTGTGGCTAATAGCCACCGATGGGCCTCTGCTCCATATGCTTATCTAATTCCCTTTTGAAGCCGTCCATGCTTGTAGCCGCCACCACTTCCTGTGGCAGTGAATTCCATGTGTTAATCACTCTTTGGGATCAAAACAGTAATCAACCCGAGGTTTTGAATCTTGGGTTGTATGGCTTGTAAACTCTGTTTAATCAGAATGCCTGGATTCCGCTGTCATGGTGAACTAGATCTTGACCAAACCAAGAACGGTAGTAACAAGCTCTGTGCACAGAGGGAGGAGTGAGGGGCCTGGAGGAGCACAGCAACAAGCTGTGTTTGTGCGCAGCTGAATTTCAGTTGCAGCTTATCATGGTATCTGAATGTAAGTAGCTCCAGGTAGCAGATGCTGGGAAAGATACCTGTCAGTCATCTTCCTCTGTCCGTACTTCCCTCAAGGGATCTAAAATTCTGGATCATGGGACTTGAGTGGTCGAGTAGGGGATTAGCCTTGATTGTTTTGGGGGCAGGGGGAATCCTGGTAGTTAAAAATGGCATCCACGTGAACAAGGAACAATCTGAGACAGGTTATCTTAGTTAGAAATCACGTGGCTTTTCAGAAAGGTGGACAAGATGTCTGGCAGTGGGACTGAGTGCAAAGTTCAGGCAAACTTCCTTTGTGTGTGTGTGGAAGGTTCTCTATTTTACAAGTAAACTCTGGGGGTGAGACACAGCTGATTCAGCCAACAGCACTTCCCAGCTCCCCTCCAGATATATTGAATTGACTTTGTTTCTAAACCCCATATGGAGTGTGTGTGTGTGTTTAAATTGACATATCCTCTTAACTCTGTTCATCCTTTTTCTTCCCGCGGGACAGCTGCACAAACGGAAGGTCAGATGTAATCCAAGCTGATGTCAATCACAAGTAAATATACCCTCCTGGACTGTTGGGGGATGCATGGTAACGGGGCTCTGCTTGTGGTCAGACTAACATCTTTCCGCAGCATGCAGGATCTTCGCGCTGAGCTTGGTTTCACAGAGGAGGGTCATTTTGTCGCTGTGATAGATTTGTTTCTCAGTAGCTGTCCCTGGAACTGTAAGCTGGGTGGGTGACTGACTGAAGGGTCCTGTAGCTACTGCTGGTTGCATTTTGAGATGAGTTTGTAGCTTGACCACATTCCTTTGGGGAAATCTGACTCTCTGCAGGGCTTGACTCAGAACTTCCAGGAGTTGGCTTCTTGTTCCCTTTAGCAGCTTTTGCTTAACAGGAAGATAGAAAAGCATGTTATTAGATCTGAATTCATTTGGATTTTATTCTTTACTTGGCCAGAAAGCTTGTGTGTGTGTGTGTATAAATATATATACATGTATAAATATATAAAAGCTCTGATTCACTCTGAGTGAGATATCCATCACAAAAGCACAGCTACATTGGGGTGGGGAGGGGAGGTCCATGGACATGAGAAATGCAGTGAAGACTAGTATATTTCATTGGCAGTCGAAATCAACACGACACGTGCTGTTTCAGCGCATTCTTAAGATGCATCTTGTTGATGGACGTCCCTTATGAAAAGCAGAATTTTCCACTGAATCCAACCCTAGATCTGCAGCATAGGGATCTACTTTTGTTTCTTAGGTGAATGCCTTAACTTGTATGCTGTCCTGACTTTTGAAAAACTGAGCATACGCTGGGTTGGATCCACTCCCATCCTGCCTAATTCCCCGCTTTACTACTGCCCCCACTCCCACATGGCTCTTGTTCTTGTCCTTGTCCTGCCTGTGAGTCCCCTTCACGAAGGCGCCGCTCCTGCTGTATTAATATTATTATTGCCTTGTGCAACCAGGAAGGTTTAGCTCTCCAGGGACTAGTTTGAGCCAAGAACCCTCCTGTTGCCGATCTTTGCATCTACGAACTTAGAAAACTTTGGGAGTCCTGGGGAAGAGAGAGGACTTTCTTCCTGCATCTTCCGTCTGCCTCAGTTTAGAATACCCAGTGACAGTACTGGGCTTTTTGTCCTCTTTGTACTTGTGCAAATTTGCACTTGAGATGTATTCTTTTGCACGCTGTTACTGTGCCAGTTGTAGACTAGTGCAGGATTCACTGGTGTTCAAAAGAGCGGAAGGTGACATGTGAAAAGTTCAGAATAATTGTTTTAACTGCAACTATGTTTTAATGTAATTATCTGTTTTTATGTGAGCTGCCCTGAGCCAGCTTCAGCCGGGAGGGCGGGATAAAAATCTGAAAAATAAATAAGCAGAAGACCTTCCAGAGGGGGAGACCCACAATCACCTGGCTTGGATAAAGGCAAGCAGATTTAAGAGAAAGCGGGCATGTGATAGATAACGGGAAGCACTGGAGAGTATACTAAACATGGCAAGCCCAACATTTTTCAAGTTGTAATTAAGTAATTCTGCAGTCTAAATGCAGCCAGAGGAACTGGGGCTTCTGTGCAGACTTCTCTAACATATTCTTTCATCTAAGAGATGTCCCTGGGTGTTACTTGATATAGACCATTGTAGTATTAGTGTCACAAAAGCCTTTGTAACTAATACAGCTGGCTTGCCGGCTGACGCCGGACTTACACAGTTCTAGCCACAGCAGGTCACAGGGCTTCTGTCTTGTGCAATGCTTTTTCTTTTTTTTAAGCTATTATCAGATGTGTCCTACTAGAATGAGTAATATGGTCAAGGTTTTCTGCCAGATCTGTGAATCTGCCATTCTGGAAGAAAGCTTGACGTTTCATTGGGTCTGTCAAGTACCCTATCAGGAAGCCTAACACGGACGGTACTCCTTTTTACAAGACACACGCACATCTGCACACACGTGCATTGGCATGTGACTGATGAGATGAATCTGATAAACTTATAACGTCTAGTCTCAAGAAGCAAAGTGGATTGTTTTCCTTTTTTTAAAGTTGGGAATTCTGGCCCAGCTGTAGTGACCATGTGCCTCAGTTTCTGAGCAGCGTGCAGAGCGTCCGCTACAGTTTGGTTCCAGACAACATTGAATGGTGTCTGAGCTCTGAGCCCATTTGGAAAGAGCATTGGGGTTCATGAAACCATCCATTTACCCACTGATAACTTACGATAGTGTTGCACAAACAGCTCTTGGCAGGGCAACTCTAGCAATCCTGTAAAGCAGCGATGTGAGTTTCACCATCACCCTTCTGCTTCTTCATACCTCTAATCAACTACAGATTGTGTGGGTAGAGACTCCGCCCCTTTGCAGGGCTGTATAGAGGGCTCCACAAGTGGTTATGCGCACACCATAATTTAACACTTAATGTGGCCTCCTGTATTGATCCTGTATAATGTTGGCCAAATGCCTTCGATTCCTTTCTGGAAATCCTGTAAGATGCAAGCCAGAGTAGTGCCTCTCAGAGTGGTGGTGCTCTTGGCTTGTTCTGCTTGAGTGTGCTTGAATGTCCCCTATCTAAGCCTTCCTCAGGGTTCTTTGTCCAAGAGACGCATCCTTGTAGTAGGAAGACCTCATGCCTCAGTGGTAGAGTTTAGCACGGAAAAGGCCCAGATTCATTCCTGAGAATCTCCAGTTGATTGTTGTTTTTTGAAGACCTCTTTGCTTTAATCTGAAGAACTGCCAGTATGGGCTAGGTAAACTGCTTGGCTTCTACCAAGCCAGCGTCATACCCATTTTACAGCTGGGTTAACTGGGCTAAGAAGTCCAAGGAGTTACTTCTTGACTCAAACAAAGGGGCTGTGAGTCTCTTGTGAAACTTCACACTGGTAAAGCCCTTCAGTGTAGGTAAAAAACCACGTTTGTGAATGTGCTCAACAAGACTGGTTGTCTTGTTGATTCAGGGAAAAGGAGAAGAATGTTTTTTAAAAAAATGGTCGAGACTTTGTAAATGGATAGACAATAATGTTAAAGATCAGACTCGAATGTAATTACTATAATACGGATATTATATATATGTATAAAGAAAATCAATAATAATAAAAAACAAGACTGGTTGCCTTAAGTTTTATCTGCACCAAAATGCTTTCCATGAACAACAATCCTTTGGGCTATCGATTGGTTCGTCTGCCTCTTAACAGATGAACCAGTTTGTTTGATGACATTGACATAAATTAAGCATGATCACTTTTTTTCCTTTTGGAAGAACAACAATAAATAATGTAATTGAATGAGCAAGACCAGTCAGTCCTGTTGAGTGTGTAAAGGGTGGCTTTGATATTTTCTTGTTCAGTCCCTGTTACAGTGACCGCCCTGGAATCAGAACAGCCTCAACAAATACTGAAATACGTTTTTAATTCTTAGCCTTGCTCTAACTTTGGCTGATCTGCTGATGCCACCCCCCCCCCCCCCCCCCCCCCCGAGTTTAGCAATCCTGGAAATTCATAAATGTTTTGAAGTGGCCCAGATGTACTGGGCTGAAGACTTGAAGTGGCATTTGGGTGGCTTTTAGCCACTCGTGCGCTCTGATTAACAACTTGTGCTGCGTGTGTGTGTGTGTGACAGAGAGAGATAGAGACGTGCACGTGGAAGGGGTGCTGTGCTTCAAACTCCTGCTTCTTTTTATCCATCACTGCTGGCGTCTTTCTCTTTTTTTAACAAGCGGAAGAAATTGTGGCCTGCACTTAATTAAACCCTGTGAATCCAGATGCTGGGCACTTCTATGTGGACTCCTTCTACGCTTTTTTTCCAGCACTGGGCTGTTTCCTTGGCATGAGTGCTAAATCAGCAAAGCTGTGCAAGAGCCCTTTCCAAGTGCAAAAGGGGTGACATTTCAAACCATCATAAATATGTCTCTTGCCTTAAACGGTTGTGTTTGTCTTTCCCCTCTCTTCCCCCCCTTCTTCTTTAGTCTGAAGGATGCCAGTGACTTGCCAATTCAGTGTGAGATTTCTCCTCTCGTCTCCTATGGGGGTGAAGTAAGTCATTATGGGTGCTTTCTTTTCGTTCCTGTTCACATCGGTATTTTTCTTATTGTTATGCTTAGGGTAGGTTGAAATAAATGTTGCACGGGACACCGGGAATTATCTTCTGCACAAGCTCCGTGGAAATGGAACTGGTACAGAGGATGCAGATAGAAACAGCATCTTGGACTTCCATCCTGAGATGGGTGTGGTGGGCTTGGTGCAGCTACTTCATTAAAAAGAAGGGAGAAATTTGACAGAGGAGAGTTTCATGAACGTCCCTAATAAACAAACCACATTGAATATGACCCTAATTGCCACCTCACTAAAAACAAGAGCCTTTATTGGTAGCACATGAACACACTCCTAAAAACTCTTAAGGTCCAAATGAAGTTTGATAAGAAAAATCACAGGAGATAATTAATGAAATGTAATGAAAGTCTGAAATGCTAGTTTTTGTTTGAGACTATGATGTACCCAATCTGGCCAAATGGACTTGATTTATCTTTACGAATATTGAAGTAAGGCAGCCAGTATCATTCCTGTATTCATTTTCCTTTTTGTATTGATAATTGTAGAAATGACTATTAAGAAAATTAGTAGGTATTATGATCCTTGCTGTAGCTAATGTTTTATTGGTTAGTGTTTTAGTATTCACCATTTCCCTTTCCCTGTGTAGTATTTGTAGTAATAAAGCAATAAAAAAGTTATTTAAAAAAAATGAACACACTTGAATCAAATCCCAACATGCTCTTCAGAAATCAGACTGCTTTTCCAGAAAGTGGTCTTTTTCCCTCTTCTCCACTTAAATCCAGTAAGGATTGGGCCCAACAAAGAAGCCCTCTGCAGAGGAAGTTGTACAGTGGGAAAAAACCACCACTGAAAAGGCCCTGCCTCTTGTTTCAAGTGCCTGTGATCAGGCTGGTACAAGGTCTCACCCACCAATCTTAGGAAAAGATGGGCAGAGCCAGATAATTCTGTAGGTGAATAGGCAAGGAGGCTGTCCTTAAAACAAGGGGAATCCTTTGCATGCACTTAAGATGATGAGCATCCAGTATCTGAATCTAATGGGATTAATTCATGTATGAAGCTTTTGGTTTGTCGTCTCCACACACACACACACACACACACTTTTGCTGTGCTATCCAGTAAGTGGTGCTGGGCAATGCTCCTTCTAAGCTGGGGAGACTTGTGAACAAAATTTCTACTTTGTGAGCTACTGGCATTAAAGTTGTGAGCGAGCGATTTGGCTCCTGCATAAATGAGTTTGCTCTGGAGCCCTCCTTCCTGAGCTGAGACAAAAATCTGTGAGCTGGAGGCTAAAAAGCTGTGAGCTAGTTCACGCTAACTCAGCTTAGAGGGAACACTGGTGCTGGGTGCAAAGAGAACAGCCACGTGAAGCCCGGTACTCTCCAGCTAACTTAAAGGAGAGCAGCTTCTCTACTTGATACAACCAAATCAACAGCCATGCCGATGGAGTTTGTGCCGGAGCCCCCATAGAGTACACTATTCACATTTCATATACTTGCTGGAGGGGGGGGATTCATTAGTGGGGCCCACCGCTAATGCATGGTGAGTACTTGTGTGGCAAAGCTCCTACTGCACCACAGCCCTGGGGATGATTGCTGTGGGGATATGCTGTTAGAGGGGGCATAGCATACCCAAAGCGACTGGCTCCACATGTGTGGAAACCCCAAAATGGAGACTTAGACACACAATGATTTATCCTGGGTTGGCAACATGGAAACGGCTGCTTCCTTATGGGCATAAACACTTAAGTGCTCCTGATATAGGCTTACCAAACGCCGGCGGGGGAAATCTATTTCCTGGCAGGATGCGTGCCGCGGGGGACGGCTGTGCGCGCTGCACCCGCGGTCGCCAGGATGTGACTCCGCGTTACTCTGGCAACGGGACCCCAAACAGCCCCGTTGCCAGAGTAACGCGGAGCGTCACATCCTGGCGACGGCGGGTGCAGCGCGCACAGCCGTCCCCCGCGGCACGCATCCTGCCAGGAAATAGATTTCCCCCGCCGGCGTTTGGTAAGCCTATCCTGATACCCTTATCTGGTTCATACCCCGGATAACCCTTTGGGAGTCACTAATCCAAATTACAGACAAGGAAGCGAAGCGGAGCTCACAGGCCTAAGGCTACCCATCAAGCTCCTAGCCAAACAGGAATTTGAACCCAACTCTACCAGGTGTCCCTCTGACTAAGGAATATAGCTAGAGGTGCATGAAGTTATGCGGGGTGGGAAAAGTGGATAGTCTCCCATAATACTGGAACTCAGAAGCATCCAGTTAAGTTGATGGGGCAACAGGCTAAAGGAAGTATTTCTTCACCCAACAACAAGAAGAAGAGATTGGATTTATACCCCACCCTTCACTACCCAAAGGAGTCTCAGAGCAGCTTACAATCTCCTTTCCCTTCCCCTCCCCACAATAGACACCCTGTGAGGTAGGCAGGGCTGAGAGAGCTCTTGACAGAAACTGCTCCTTTTCAAGGACAGCTGTGCCAGAGCTTGTGACAGGCCCAAGGTCACATCAGCAGGTCCAAGTGGAGGAGTGGGGAATCAAACCCGGTTCTCCCAGATTAGAGTCCGCGCACTTAACCACTACACCAAACTGGTAATTAAATTGTGGGATTCATTGCCAGTGGATGTATCCACTGCCACTAGTACTGATGGCTTTGAAAGGGGATTAGAAAGTCGATTCATTTGGAATGTGGTGTTGGAGGAGGGTTTTATGGATACTGTGGACCACCAAAAAGACAAGTACATAGGTTCTAGACCAGGGGTGGCCAAGCTTGCTTAACGTAACAGCCACACAGAATAACCGTCAGATGTCTGAGAGCCGCAAGACATAAACAAATATTACACACACGTTTTTATTGGAAAATACGCAAATTTGCTTTTTTAAATTAGCATTAAAGTAGACTGTGTGAAAGAGCCACAGGTGGCTCCCGAGCTGCTGCCGTTTGGCCACCCCTGTTGTAGACCAAATCAAGCCTGAACTCTCCCTAGAAGCTGAAATGACTAAACTGAGGCTATCATACCTTGGTCACAGAATGGGAAGACAAGAGTCACTGGAAAAGACAATAATGGAAGGAAGAGTTGAAGGCAGCAGGAGAAGAGGAAGACAAAAGGAGGCCACGGCCCTCAGTCTGCAAGACCTGGACAAGGCTGTTAGCGATCGGATGTTTTGGAGGTTATTAATTCAGAGGGTCACCATAAGCCAGAAGGAACTCATAAAGGAGATGTCCATTGGCTCTGGCTACACTAACTAAAGGGCACCTCCATGTCCAGAGGCATTAAACCTTGGAATACCAGTGCTAGGAGGCAGCATCAGGGATCTCGGCCTCTATGACCTGCTTAGCCCTCTATAGCAACTGGTTAGCCAGTCTGTGGCAGACTAAATGGACCACTGGTCTGATCCAGCAGGGCTCTTCTCAGGACTTTTTTTTTTGTAGAAAAAGCCCAGCAGGAACCCATTAGCATAATAGGTCACACCCAACAGCAGAAACGCATTAGCATATTAGGCCACACCCCTGACAGCACAGCTCATTAGCATATTAGGCCACACACCCCATGTTACCAGAAGTCTGGTCATCCAGCTGCACCCACCTTTTGCTTCTTATTCTGTTGACTTTGTTTGGGGTCAAAACCCAGGGCTTTTTTTGTAGCAGGAACCCTTTTGCATGTTAGGCCACACACCCCTAATGTAGCCAATTCTAATGAGTCTCTGCTGTTGGGTGTGGCCTATTATGCTAATGAGTTCCTGCTGGGCGTGGCCAACTTGGGAGCCAGCCGGAACTCCGTTCCTGTGTGTTTTGGCCCAAAAATAGCCCTGGCTCTTCTTAACTTCTTGCTGCTTTTTTGTTTCATTAGGGCCTGGAAGAATTTGTGAAGGACAAAGAGTTCCATGCTCCTTTGGTTATCGACAGGAATGGGGTTCAAGAGCTGGTGAAGAATGGAGTGTGAGAGGCCCCGTGAAGATCCAGAACGTTATGATCCTTCTTGTCACCCAAGGGGGGGATTTCCCCCCCCCCTTCACATTGAATCCTCTCAAACTGCAGGACTTGGTTGCAATAAGGGGCAGGGAGAACCAATCCCTCTGTTCTTGGCGTGTCTATTTATGTATATATATATTTAATTTAAAACAAGCTAAAATAGCTCATCTATTGCCTTCCATGCTGCATTCCATGCTGCAGTGCTTCAAGTCATAATGGTATTTTATATTGAAATCTCTATCGTTTACTTGCAAAATGTCTTCTATGGTACGGGCGTTGATCTGAAATTTTAAGAGAAAAAATGCTGGGCTGGATCACAGGCATCTGTCCAATGAGTGGTGGCGCTTCCCTCTACCGCAAGGAGGGTTCGCCTGATGCAAACACTGCTGCTAGTGGGAGAGAGATCTTGGGATCCTGCCCACTGTGGGCAACTTCAAATGGGTCTGGAGTTTTGTATCTGCTGCCCATGTTCTTTTGACATCAGCTGCACCTTGCGGAGGTTGCACGGCTGAAAGAATAGGAAGGGAAATAAAGGGAAAATTCATTTTTCCTCCTGCATGGACAGCATGTCTCAAGGTTTTTGGTCTCTGAGTTGTCTGTCTAAAATGTGCTTGACTATATGCTCACCCACTTTTCCAGTCCACTGCTAGCAAAAAGTTCCACTGGTGGAGTTTGGTGCATGCAACCTGCTGTAGAATGTGAGCTGCAGTGGACTGGGGTGTTGTCCTCAGCGAGGCCATTTAGAAGAGGATGGCAAAACAAGGTTACTTACCTGTAACTGTTGTTCATCGAGTGGTCTTCTGTGCAGGCACGAATGGCGGACTGTGAGGTTGCAGGCCTGCCATGGGGGAACGAGCTCCCAAAGGGCTTAGAATTTTCCAGGGTCCAGGAGCTCTCCCTCCTCTCCTCCATCTTGAGCCCTGCTTTTCCCACCCAAAGGGTCACATGATGGTGGGGAGGGCGCTCTTCCCTCCGTTCTCCCTTCATCACCGTGAGGTGCCAACAGCAGAGCAGTCCACAGTGGGGAAAGGAGGGAGGGACGGAAGAGCACTCGGTGAACAACAGTTACAGGCTTCTGTGCAGTCCCACATTGGGAAAACAGCAGGTAAATGTGGGCTGGTCAGCGAAAGATTGATTGGAGCACTGCCTCTATGTCCATGGAGTAGCATTTGATGAACATTGAAGGCGGCGACCAGGTTACTGCTTTGCAGATGTCGTCCAGTGCCAGCCTGGGGAAAGAGGCTGCATTGGAGGCCTGGGTCCATGTGGCCCTCAATGCAATGGAGCATGGCGTATTCCATTCAGCATAGGCCAACCTTATTGCTGAGACCATCCACCTGGAGAGTGAGCCGAAGCAGGTTTTGCCTTTATTATGGCCCCTAAAGACTATGAAGGAGCTGCGGTGGCTCAAGTGGTTAAGACGCTGAACTGCAGACTGTGGATGGTCGGTAGTTCAGCAGTTCGAGACCCGAGTGCGCCACATGATGGAGTGAGCTCCCGTCTCTAGTTCCAGCCCCTGCCAACCTAGCAGTTCGAAAGCAAGAAATTGCAAGTAGATAAATAGGTACCATTTCAGTGGGAAGCTAACAGCATTCCGTGCGCCTTGGTGTTTAGTCCCGCTGGCCACATGACCACGGAAATGTCTGGACAGCGCTGGCTCTTTGGCTTTGAAACGGAGATGAGCACCGCAACCCTAGAGTCGGACTCGACTGGCTTTTGAGCAAGGGAACCTTTACCTTTAAAGACTATGAACAGATTCCATTTTTGCACGGTCTAAATAAAAGAGCAGTGCCCTCCTAACATCAAGCGTGTGCAAAGTTCTGAAGGTGGAGATGGAAAAAAGACTGGGAGAGTGATGTCTTGGTTTGCATGAAAATTGGAGAGCACCTTGAATAAAAAGTGCAAACTGGGTCGCAACGCTACCTTGTCAGCATGAAATTTAATGAACTCCCCTACTCCACGTGCTGAAGTAATCGCCACTAAAAAGACTGTTTTGTAGGAAAGGAAAGTCACATCAGACCTTGCTCGGGTTTCGAATGGTTTATGCATAAGACTTGTTAAAACCAAGGACAAGCTCCACTGCGGAGTTGGAGGGACAACAGGAGGATACAAATTCAGTAAACCCTTTAGAAACGTCTACGATTCAGGTGCCAAAAAAATTGAGGCCCCATTCAGGTTCTTGTCAAAAGCTGATATTGCTACTAAATGCACTTTAACGGAGGAGGAGGCTGAGCCCCCCTCCTTCAAAGTCAGGAGATAGTAAAAAAATATCAGTGTACAGGTCTCAGGGGAGACTCCTCTCTTAGATGCCCATACTGAGAACCTCTTCCACTTTGCCGCATATGACCTAGTGGATGGCATGTGTGAAGCTAAGAGTGCCTGCTGCACCCTGTATGAAAACCATGCTGTTAGACTCAATGACCCTACATCTGGGTGCAGAACGGGTAGTAGGGACTTGTGTAACCCTTTGGGCGTCTTCCATAGAACCAGGAGCCACATTTTGCAAGGCCAATAGGGGGCCTAACAGGATACATGTTGAATGGTCGGCTCTGAGTTTTGCGATTAACTTGTGGACAATACTGAGAGGCGGGAAGGCATAAAAAAGGTGTCCAACCCATTTGAATTGGAAAGCGTCCCCATGGAACAAAAAATGTGGCACTTGGTGGTTAATTTGGTAGTGAAGAAGACTGTGTCTAGGAATCCTTTTTTCCCGTGTAGCTGTGGTTGATTTACCACATGTGGTCCACTAGACCTTGCTGCAAATGCTCAGATTTATCTTCAAGGAAACCCCAATGACCAGTCCATAGGTAAAGGTTTATGGCACCTGTAGCGTTGTCATGACCCACTTATAGGAAACCTTAACAGAATCCTAATAGTTCTCCTTCGCTTTCAGCACTGGGTACTTCTCCAGATCATTGACCATTTTTGTTGAATACATCCCTTTTAGCAGAAATCAGCAAGGAATTCCTGCTATTAATATGGGATTCTGTCGAAAAACTAAAAGGCAGAAGCACAGAAGCATCAAATCCTTATTCCAGCCCCAAAGAAAATGGGATCATGACACCCACAGCTCAAGTGAGGCTTCTTCAACAAGCTCCTTTGCATAGCTCTCTCAACTTTCTCCCTCCAACCATTTGGCAACACCCAGGGAAAGGCAGGGAACTTTAAGTCTCTTAAGCCAGGCAGTTAATTTGGCAAAATACTAATGAATTCTTCTAGCCACACCAACTGAACCAAGGCAGGAAATTGTACATTCTCTCCCAGAGACACGAGTGAATAGCATGTCTCTTCTGCATAAAATGTATTTTTATTTATTTATTATTTACATTTCTATCCCGCCCTCCTCGGAGGCTCAGGGCGGCTTACAAGGCATATGGCTGAATAAAACAATAGAACAATACAAAATATTAAAAATACATCACAAGTAATGAACAATTTTGGTGCTCCTCTGAACCCCTTCCAAGTTCAGATTCCTAAAAACAAGATGGCCGTCCCCTAAAACGTCCCATTCTCACCCAAGATTACAGTGACTCATTCACATGAAGATGCTTCCTGATAGTGGTGCATAGTTAATAACTGTCTGCTGCTTTCCAAATGACTTCTCCCAATTAATTATGAACCCCAAGCCCTCTAAAGTTGAAATAAGGTGTAGGTGTGCCTGGAGGAGCTCAGGGGATGTGGTAGTGAACAACCAGTCATCAAGGGTAGATTGTGCAACCCTGTAACTTGAAATGTACTATTACCACCGAGTCACATTTTATGAAAACCCTCGATGCCGCTGCCAACCCAAATGGCAAAACGGTGTACTCATAGATAGTGCCATTGAACAGAAACCTTAAGAATTTTCTACATGAATTATGTATAGAAATACAGAAGTACGCATGTTTGAGGTCCAAGGCTGCAAACCACAACTCCCCTGATAGAAGCGGTAGGACCTCATGAAGGGAAATCATCCTAAACTTCAATACCCGTGGATGCTTGTTGAGGCCCCTGAGATCTAGGATGCGACATTCTCCTCCCCCTTTTTTGTCTATAGCAAAATTCCTAGAAGAAATACTGTGATCAGACCATGCCACCAGTGCAGCTGTTTTCCAGAAGTGGGGAGACATCTTGTGCCAGGATAGAATCAGCTGAATCGGAATTGGCGAGGCTGAAAAGGAGGCATAGAAATAAATTCCAGAAAGTAACCCTTGTTTATTATTGAGAGAAACCAGGAGCCTTGGGTGAACTGAGCCCATGCAACTGAAAAATTGGATAACCTATCCCAAAATAACTTGCTCTGCACTAGTCAGGTAGAGGAACCACACCTTGTCTGCTTGTGCCTGGGATAGGGTTCCCAAGTGTTACCTTCCTCCGCAGCGGGGGACTCCCAGGCCAATCATGGAGCACGCCCGTGCCGCATCCACGTCACCAGGAAGTGACGTGATGACACCGGGCACGCTGGGGGCGGGGCCACGACCATCCGAGGGAAAACCATAGTTTTCCCTCGGATGACCGTGGCCCCGCCCCCAGCGTGCCCGGCGTCGTCACGGCACTTCCTGGTGACGTGCACGTCGGGGCGGAGTTCCCCCCGGGGCCCGATCCGGCGGCGGTGGGGAACGGGCCTCTGGGGCGGGGGGTTCCCCGCCCCTTGGGGGACTTGGCAAGCCTAGCCTGGGAGAACTGCTTTCCTCTCTGCTTAGTCTGAGTCATGGGTTGGGAGTGCTGAGAGAAAACTGGTCTGTATTGCTTCTGCGTGGGTTGAGAGTTGTGATACATTTTGGTCCTTTCCGCACTTGGATCTCATCCCTGGTTTTATCAGAGTTGAACTTGGGACACAATACCTGGCATTTTATCCATGGTTATAACAGCATTCATTTATTCCCAGGACAAGTGTGGGGCGAAACTGGGGTGACCTCAATGTACAAGAAGTACCCCAAGATAATTACAGGGGTGAACTCGAGTGAAGTGTAGAATGTAAAAATGCCCCAAGATAATTACAGGGGTGAACTCGCATGTAGTGTAGAATGTCAGTTCAGGGACAGGGCTGAACCAGGATTTAAGGTCAAGTGCGGAAAGGACCATAGTCATGTTACTTACAGAACCTGGATTGCCATCTAAAACTTTGCCTAGGAAAATACCTTGGCTTGTAAGTGCGAGCTGACGCAGGGGTAATCCTGAGAGATTTCGCTGAATTTTTTCCCCTCCCAGATATGGTCTAATACCAAGTCATTAAATAATTCCTTGCCTTCAAAGGGAAGGTCTTGAATCTTGGCATGGATGTCTGGGGGCAAAGCTGAAGATCTCGCCAAGAGTGACATCTCAAAACAACTCCAGATGCCATAACCTTACTGTTACAATCAGCTATGTGCCTAGTGCCATTAAGCTGCTGTTTACTGACTCTTTGCCCTTCCAAAAGTAGCATTCTAGCTATGGGTTTCTTGTCGAGATCAGAAAACTGCTACATACGTTCCCAGAGCAACATCTGATAATGTCTCATTATAGCAAGAAAATTATACATTTTAAGTCCCGTCAGTCCCGATGAGTAAACTTTCCAGCCCAGAGAGTCAAGTTTTTGGCCCAGTTTGTCCATTGGAGCAGACTATGAGCCTGATCTCTGCCTAGCAGGAAGGGTTTCAGGGACCAATGAGTTTGCCAGGGAGTGATGGAACAAGTACAGACATCCTTCCTTGATCATCTAAAGAGTATCTAACTTTTGGGCAGAAACAGGATCAGACACAGGTTTGGACCCAACTGCTGCCCAAATGTTCTGGATGCCTTGTAGTAAAGGAAGGGATACTGGCCCCAAGTCTGGTGTGTAGAGGACTTCCTGATTGGGTCTGCAGGCTGAGATTCGCAAGACAGGCAATTAAATCTAAGGCCTTCACCATGCGTATTAGCTGCTCTGAACAGAGCTTTAGATCTTCCGTTGGTGAGAGTGCTGATGATTCTCCCACCACGTCATCTGGGGATGGCACTGAAGGGGCTTCTGAATCTTTGTCAGACCCTCTTCAGAATCTGAAAGTTGATAAACCTCTCGCTCTTTGGTACAGTGCCTAGTCCCCTTGGAGTTACATTGACTTTTGTCATGAATGGTTTGTGGAAGAAGAAGAGGAGGAGATTGGATTTATACCCCGCCCTTCACTACCCAAGGGAGTCTCAGAGCAGCTTACAAACTCCTTTCCCTTCCCCTCCCCACAACAGACATCATGTGAGGTAGGTGGGGCTGAGAGAGCTCTGACAGAAACTGCTCTTTTTCAAGAACAGCTGTGCCAGAACTATGGCTTGCCCAAGGTGATCCAGCAGGTGCAAGTGGAGGAGTGGGGAATCAATCCTGGTTCTCCCAGATTAGAGTCCACACACTTACCCACTATTTGTATCCCTCATTTCCTTCTTTGATTGAATGATGGGCTTACTGGAT